TGAAGCCTCACTGGATCCTGGAATCAAGCGATCCTCCGACCTCAGGCTCCTGAGTAGCTGGGACCACAGGTGTGTATCACCACACCTGGCTAGATTTTTTTTTTTTTTCTGTTTTTTGTAGAGATGGTGGTCTTGCTATGTTGGCCAGTCTGGTTTCTAACTCCTGGCCTCAATTGATCCCCCGTCTCAGCCTCCCAAAGTGCTGGGATTACAGGTGTGAGCCACTGTGCCCAGCCTAGTACCTAGTGAATTATTATTTAAAAACACACGTTAAAGAATCTACACTTAGAGAAGAGAGAGCCAGACTTGGTGAGGATTTTTAGACTTCGAATATGCTTTATTTTCCCACTTTCTCACGTTCTGTCTCTGCGAGGCAGAACTGCACTGTTCTCTGAGCCCACTGGCCTCTGACAGGCTTGTGGATCTGAAGGTATGTGGAAAATGCTCATCGACTTTGGTCCTGAATTTCCTGGCTTCTGACTGGTGCACAGTTAGCAAAGGAAGAGTTCTCCTTTTAATTTGAGAAACGTGCTGGGTGTGGCAGTTTACACCTGTAATCCCAGCACTTTGGGAGGCTGAGGCCGGTGGGTCACCTGAGGTCAGGAGTTTGAGATCAGCCTGGCAAACATGGAGAAACCCTATCTCGACTAAGGGTACAAAAATTAGCTGGGTGTGGTGGCAGGAGCCTGTAATCCCAGGTGCTCCAGAGGCTGAGGCAGGGAGAATTGCTTGAACCCGGGAGGCAGCGGTTGCAGTGAGCCAAGATCGTGCCACTGCACTCCTGCCTGGGCTATAGAGCAAGACTCTTTCTCAACAACAACAACAAAAAATGTGTGAAGATTTCCCACACCCCCAATCCCACTGCCCCATCCCTGTACCCCAACTCCATTTAAACGCTGCAAGGTTTCCCACCCGCCGTACGAGGAGACCCTTGTCAACATGGCAGGTGCACCTCGGTTGGGAACGTGTCTCAGTGTCTTTAAATTTCTCGAGAGTCTCAGTTTTATCCCTATTAACACACCCAGCAGTGGAAACAGCAGAAATTGCTCTTCTTTTATAAGGAGAGTTGTGTCTCAGAGAGTTGGTTGTTTGAAATGTAATTTCTCCAGCTTATTATGTCAAAACTGACATTTGAAGTATGCATGAGGACCCTTGCTAATAGCCTTTTGTATTAGGGTTCTTTAGGGAAACAGAATCAATAGGGTGTGTGAGAGTGTGTGTGTGTGTGTGTGTGTGTGTGTGTGTGTGTGTATGTGGAGAGACAATGAGAGAGTAAGAGAGAGAAGAGAGAGAGAAGGAGAGAGAGAGAACCTAATTATAAGGAATCAGCTGATGTGATTATGTAGGCTGACAGGTACCAAGATCTGCCATCTGTAAGCTGGAGATCCATGAGGGCTGATTGTATAAGGTCCAGCCTAAATGCAGACAAGCTGAGAAGCTGCAGACACACGAAGAGCTGATGTTTTAGTTTGTGTCCAAAGGCAGGAAAAAAACTGATGTCTTAGTTGGACGGCAATTAGACAGGAGGAGTTCTCCTTACTCCTTGAGAGAAGGGTCTGCCTTTTTGCTCTATTCAGGCTTTCAACTGATTGGATGCGAGGGCCATCTGCTGTACAAAGAACCCGGTGATTCTACTGTTAATCTCATCCAGATCCGTCCTTGCAGACACAGTGAGGCTGTGTGACCAAACGTCTGGGCACCCTGTCCTACAGCACTGACCAAACGTCTGGGCACTCAAGTCCTAGAGCACTGGCCATCACACCTTTGGTATAATCTCAGGATTTTTAATTTCCTGGGTCACATGGCTGCAGAGGCTGCACTAAAGCATCATGGGTCACAACATTCTAGTCACTGTTGCAATTCTCCTGCTTCTCCCATGGGCTGATGTTCAAGGGCCTTATTTTAGCTTAGCAGGCTAATTTTCTTATTGTAAGACTTCCATACATGAATGATAAAATTATAGAGAAGGAAAGTGATTTCATAGGTGGTGGGGATTAATTCCCGAGAGGCAGGGCTGAAGTCAGAGCCTCCGGAGACTTCTCCCAGGTTCTTTCATCAATCCTGCTCCAGGGTCAATGGCTACATGAGGCATCAAGTTCCAAGTATGCAATGAGATTTGCTAATCCGATTTTGCATTTTCTGGGCTTTGCAAAAGCCAGAAAAGAGTCGCAAACATGACTATGACTCCTCAGCCTGAAGCCATCTGGGTGTGTTTTTTTTTTGAGGGTCCACAGGAGACTTTCTCATGTCCTTGGGTTTGCAGGATATTTCATTTCCTGCTGCTCCAGATGCTTGTTCAGGCATGTGTCAGAAATGGATAGCCCAGCCTTGCCCCTTTGCAAAAGTCAAGCTCTCCTCCCAGACAGCCACAACTTGTCTGGACAGAGATTTAGGGCTGTCTTCCCAAGAAAGGCGTGTATATCGGGAGTTTGACCCTAGTCTCCAAGGCTTCAGGCTGGGTGGTTTTCCTTGTGGTTTTGTCTTGGATCACTTGTGGCATTTGGAAGCCACCTCTGGTCTTGACTTTCCAACTTCCAGTGTTGAAATGGAATTGGTCTGGGATTATAAGTTATCTAGGCCAGAATGCAGAGATTTATTTTATTCCTTTGGAGGGAGGTGGACAGAAGAATCTGTTGGGGAGAGAATGTGGAGCCAGCTGTTTATAAAGTTAGCATTTAAGTCCCACACAAAGCCTGCTTCCTAAATACTGTTGTCCCAGGGCCACTGGCAAGGCGACTGGCTGTGCCCCTTTTGTTTATCCTGTTACTGCCAGGCTTGGCATTTGCACTGTGCTGTATCCTTCATTCAGAATCCAGGTAGATTCACACACACGTCTGTGCCTGTGTGTGTGTGCGTACCTGTGATAAAAGCAGGGAGGAAAAATGCTTTGTGATGAGGCTTGGGTATCATCAGACTTTACAGTTCATTGTTCCCCCTCTTCCAAAATTTTACTCCTTTTCTCTACCCAAGGAACCATGAGAAGGGGGTGCTATGGGCTGCCTAGGTTGCTTTATGCCAAAGACATAGTATTGAAACTTTTCATGTCAATGACGTGACACTTTGGTAAATCATATCAGTTAAGACAAGACCAAGTTGCTGTTGCTAAGAGATTTTTAAAAAATCTGAAAGTGAAGTTCTGTTTTCATTCATTTCACCTGGAGAGTTTCTCTGTGCTGAAGACAAAGAGATGTCTCATGTGTCTTTGATGTGGCCTCCACTCGGGAATAGTTTAGGGTTCGCAAGAAGAATGTGTAGGGAACCTGATTCTTCAGTGCCCCGTTTTTGACTTTCTGGGTTGACTGATTTCTCATAGACAGTATTAAATATTCTGAAAAAGGAGGGACACCAGTGAATGCAAAGCAATTAGGAAAAAATTCAAGAGAGTGGAGGAACAAACACAAAGAACTTCAATCATCACATTGAGAGTGTTATTCCCGGCAGCATCCTAAACCTTCCAGCCATGTGCTGATACGTGTCGTAGCCTTTGTGCAGAGTCTTAGGCTAGGGACTGAAGTGGCTTGTGCCAGAGCTTTCCCTACAGTTCACGGTGACCCTGTACCATCCTAAAGATAAGAACATAGTGTTAGGTCTGGCAACGTGGCCCACACCTGTCAATCTCAGCCCTTTGAGAGGCTAAGGTGGGAGGATCACTTGAGTTCAGGAGTTCAAGACCAGCCTAGGCAACATAACAAGACCTCTTCTCTACCACAGTTAGAAAAAAAACCCCAGACAGATGTGGTGGCATGCACCTTTAGTCCCCGCTTCTCAGGAGGCTGAGGTGAAAGGATTGTGTAAGCTCAGGAGGTGGAGGCTGCAGTGAGCTATGATTGCACCACTGCACTCCAGCCTGGGTGATAGAATGAGACCCTGTCTTTGAAAAACAAAACAAAACAGCAAAACCAACCCAAAACTCTGTAGTATTGTAACCATTTTCCTCATGAATCCTCATGATGGAAACAAAATTGAGTTGTTTCCATAAGCCCTTGTCCTAGGAGAAACGAGGTGGCATGTTTAATGTCTCTTTATTTATTATCAATCCTAATAGTGACTTTTGCCAAGAGCCTGCCGTGTGCAGGCCTAAGTGCATCACCTCATGCAGGGCTCCCTCACCTGCAAGGAAGGCTGTTCCTATCCAATTTGATTTGCAAGGGAATGGAAGCTCAGGGAGATGAACTGACTTGCCTCTGATCACATAAGCACAGAGCAGCTCATTTCTGACCCAGATCTCCGCTGGCAGGCCCATAGGGTGGTGCCCTCAAGTGCCAGGCTGTGACAAACCCTGTCCTCATTGCACATCTTGGTCTTTGGGACTTTTTAAAGCATGAAGTTTGCCTTTTTAAAATATTGCATTTGTGACCGGGCTAATGCCTATAATCTCAGCACTTTGGGAGGCTGAGGTGGGCAGATCACAAGGTCGGGAGTTTGAGACCAGCCTGGCCATCATAGTGAAACCCTGTCTCTACTAAAAATACAAAAAAAAAAAAATTAGCTGGGCATGGTGGCAGGTGCCTGTAATTCCAGCTACTCAGGAGGCTGAGACAGGAGAATTACTTGAACCCAAGAGGCAGAGGTTGCCGTGAGCCAAGATCATGCCATTGCACTCCAGCTCCATCAACAGTGGGAGACTCCATCTCAAAACAAACAAACAAACAAAACAAAATACTGCATTTGTGTATTACGTATCTTGCTTACTCAGTTTTTAGTGCTCAAGGCTCAAAGTGAGTTCTGCTTTAAGAGTTAGTGAGGTCGGTCACTCACTCAAGGCCCCATGGCTGTAAGTGGGGCAGCAGAGTGTTAACTGAATCTCCTGGGAGCAGTCTCAGCAGCCAGCCTGGAGGCAGCAGCATGGTTTCCTTCTGTCAGATCCTCATGCTCTCGGTTGGAGGAAGGAAACCTGACTTATCACCTGCTGCTAAGTTGCTATCAGTCCTCTGGGGCCTGGGCCCAGGGGCTCTTTCTCTTCCAGCTGTGTTCTCACCAATGTGCTGCTTCTCCTGCAGGTCAGGAAAGAGGTTAAAGAAGACCCGCAAGTATGACATCATCACCACTCCAGCCGAGCGAGTGGAAATGGCGCCGCTGAACGAAGAGGATGATGAGGATGAGGACTCCACAGTATTCGACATCAAATACAGGTACAGGGTGGGACAGAGGCCTCCTCCTCAGTCTCAGACATTGAGTTGGTGGGACCTTGAGGCCAGCTATGGTGGCCATGTGTTCTTGTTTTTTGGTTAAGCATTGGGCCCTGGGGTGTTCTGCAGATGGAGAGACCTGCTCTGATCTTGTATGAGTCTGTTTTCATGCTGCTAATAAAGACATACCTGGGACTGGGTCGTTTATAAAGGAAAGAGGTTTAATTGACTCGCAGTTCCACAGGGCTGTGGAAGCCTCACAATCATAGCAAAAGGCAAGGAGGAGCAAAGTCACATCTTATATGGGTGATGGCAGGCAAGAGAGCTTGTGAAGGGGAACTCCCCCTCATAAAACCATCAGATCTCGTGAGACTTATTCACTGTCAGGACGAGAACAGTGTGGGGAGACCTGTCCCCATGATTCAGTTACCTACTGGGTTCCTCCCACAGTATGTGGGAATTGTGGGAGCTACAATTCAAGATGAGATTTGGGTGGAGACACAGACAAACCATATTAGATCCCTTCCTAGAACACAAAGCACCCAGAAACCCAGCAGAGAAATGCTTATTCCTTTTCCTAAAGGAGAACATGAAGTCACCTTTAAAGAAGGAAAAGGAGGGTTATGCTTCAGACAACAACCCGCTCGTTGTCCATGCTTGCGGGGGGTCTGGCTGCTAGCTGTGTGTGCTACACACCAGGCACCAAAACAGCAACTTCTCTTTCACCCTGCTTACGTCAGTAGCCGAGGACGTGGGTGGTTGGGTGGATGGCATTCCTGCTTGGATGGAGTTTACTGGTGAGTTCTAAAAGCAGGTGTGTTTCCTAAAGGTTTTCTTTAGGTTAGTCAGAATGACTTTGTGACGTTAGGATTATAGTGTGGATTTTCAGATCATTTTGGGATGTACTTTTAATATGTAAGATTCTTAATGGAAGAGCTGAGGATGAGCATAGTTTTGAGACGAGGGTACAAAGACCCAGAGAAGGGGCATTGCTTGGCCAAGGTCCCAGTTAGTAGGAAAAGTGCAGCAGAAATCCAGGCTGGTCCCTATCTGGGCTCCCCAATTCTGTGGCTTCTGCCCATCTGGGAAGGCAAGCCTTCCACCGTTCCTCAGCACAGCCTTGGCCATCCTTGGCCCTTCTGCATAAATCAGATTCAGTAAGTCAGTGTTTGGGATTTTGATTGGAGCTGCATTGCCTGTAGATCAATTTAGGGAGAATCAGCACTTTTACATTGACTTTTCCAATTCATGAATATGGAAGGATTTTCCATTTATTAGGTATTTAAAAAATGTCTTTCAGTACTTTCAAAAATTTTTGTATAAATGTTTTATATATTTTTGTTAGATATATTCTTATAGGTGTCTTACAGTTTGATATGTATATTTTTTACTTTAAAGTACTGTTTTATTTACACTCATGTCTGAAAAAATGACTGTATTATAATCTTTACATACATATTGGTTTTGGAAGCTGAGTTTGTTAGTGAATCATACCAAAATCTTATAAAGAACTTGAAAGCATTAAAACTGATTGGTTATGGATAGCAGAGTGGGAGAAAAATCCCACTAGCTAGAATTTGCATTTTAGGCAAAGGGACAGCACCCTTTGAAAAGAATCAAATCAATTAGTAATATTTATCCATACCACAGAATAATACACAGTTAGCCCTCTGTACCTGAGAATTCCACATCTGCAGGTTCAACCAACCACAAATTGAAATATTTGGGGTTGGGCATGGTGGCTCATGCTTGTAATCCCAGCATTTTGAGAGGCTGATGAGTGCAGATCTCTTGAGCTCTGGAGTTTGAGACCAGCCTGGACCACATGGTAAAAACACAAGTCTACAAAAAAAAAAAAAATTAGCCAGGCATGATGGTTCATGCCTGTAGTCCCAGCTACTTGGGAGGCTGAGGTGGGAGGATCACTGGGGCCTGAGAGGTCAAGGCTGCAGTGAGCCGTGAGCATGTCACTGCACTCCAGCCTGGGCAACAGAGCAAGACCCTGTCTCAAAAAAAAAAAAAGAAAGAAAATTTTGGGAAAAACAATGCAACAATGAAAATAATACAAATTCAAAAAACAATACAGTATAAGAACTATTTACATTGTATTTACATTGTATTAGGTATTAGGAATATCTAAAGATGATTTAAAGTATACTAGAGAATGTGCATAGGATACATGCAAATCCTACACCATTTTATGTAAAAGACTTGAGCATCTGTGGATTTTATCTTTGCGGGAGGTCTGGGAACCAGTTCTCTGAGATTACCAAGGGTTGATTGTATACATAGGAAAGTTAGCGATTGTATTGATTTTATCACTATGCCATTTTATCTGTCTCACATTCAATGCAAAGTAGTAAAATATAATGTGAAGAAAACCATGTCCTCATTACTATCTGCAATCAAAACAGTCTGCTTCCTCCTGCAGAGCGGGGCATGTTGTACAATAGGGAGCACTTAGTGGTTTGAGTGGATCAATGTACTGTTTTGATTCGGAGCCACCGAACGGCATCTCATCAATCTTTGGTGACTGAACTAACTCCATGGGAACCATGATAGACGGAACCATTTTCGTGGTATCTCCACATCCCACTAAATAAGAGAAGACCCTAAACAAGGAAATATAGCAATCAATCTACTCAGAAATTCTCTATATAGACTGTTTACTAGAAGGTGGGAAAAAAGGGCCTTTCCTGGTATGCATAGATGTCAGTATTATTGTGGCCTGGTTGCTGGATTGATATTGTGTCTGGTATAATGAAGATAAGGCACACATTAAAACTAGTGTCAGATTAAGAAACTTCCACAGCTTGCTTCTGTTCTTCAAATAATGGAGCGAGTTCCTTTTCTGGGCTGACAATGACTACCATATTGGCATTGCTGCTGGCGGTGAAACTCACCACTAAACATAAACCATTAAATTGAACCACCTGACTTTTTAATGATCATCTTCACTCTAACTGGCATGAGATGGTATCTCAGTGTGGCTTTGATTTGCATTTCTCTAATGACCAGTGATAGGAACACTTTTACACTGTTGGTTGAGTGTAAATTAGTTCAACCATTGTGGAAGACAGTGTGGCGATTCCTCAAGGATCTAGAACTGGAAATAACATTTGACCCAGCAATCTCATTACTGGGTATATACCCAAAGGATATAATATAATCATTCTACTATAAGGACACATGCACACATATGTTTATTGTGGCACTGTTCACAATAGCAAAGACTTGGAACCAACCCAAATGCCCATCAAAGATAGACTGGATAAAGAAAATGTAGCCATAAAAAAGGATGAGTTCGTGTCCTTTGCAGGGACATGGATGAACCTGAAAACCATCATTCTCAGCAAAGTAACAGAACAGAAAACCAAACACTGCATGTTCTCTCTCATAAGTGGGAGTTGAACAATGAGAACACATGGACACGGGGAGGGGAACATCACACGCTGGGGCTTGCCAGGGGGTGGCAGGCTAGGGAAGGGACAGCATTAGGAGAAACACCTAATGTAGATGACTGGTTGATGGGTACAGCAAACCACCATGGCACGTGTATACCTATGTAACAAACCTGCACGTTCTGCACATGTACCCCAGAACTTAAAAGTGTAATAAAAAAAAAGAAATATTTTGAGACAATGAAAATAATATTTATTGAAAAAAAAAAAACTGAACCACTTGGTAGGTGTTAAAGTTAACAGACAAGTCCAAGTTTGTTTTTTGATCGTCCAGGTTAGCTTGCTGGCTGGCGTGTTGCAAGGGCAAAAGTAAGTGAGACACTTGGTTCCAAGCGTGCTCTGTGGCATTTTCAGCGGCGGCTTTAATGATGTACATCTCACCTCTATCTGACACAGCCACAGCACAGGGCCTTTCAACTCTTGGTGGTTTTTAATACATGAATCATGTTAGCTCCCTGAAGCACCTTAGCAGTGTCTTCTCTGCCCTTATTCTGAGCAGAAATAAATCCTTCTCTATTAGTTTCCCGCTCCAGACCATCAGCCGTATAAAGCACCCCTTTGTCCCACTGACCAGTCTCTATGCCTGGGTTTCCACTTCTGGGGCTGCCAGGTTCTCTCTGCTGTCATTTTGGGGACAGGGTCAAAGCAGATTTCCCTGCAAACTGCCACTTCATGATTCGTGACTTTGTCTCCGATGTCTTTGAAAAAATATCATTTAAAAACTTTTTGTTTATGGCAGGTTTTTTTTTTAAGATATTGATTTTAAAAAAAATTTGGCAACCTTGTTAAACTTTTATTAATCCTTGTAGGATAAATGTGGAATCTTTGGGGTTTCTGTGTAGACATGTCATCTGAGACTAAGAAGAGTCCCTGTCCCTGCTCCCAAGTCCTTAAACATTTTCTCTCTTCTTTTGCCTTTTGGTACTCTTGGCCACAAAGTCATTGTTAAACAGAAGTGATGCCACTTCTGACACCAGGCCAGGTGAGGTGGCTCATGCCTGTAATCCTAGCACTTTAGGAGGTGGAGGCTGGAGGATCACCTGAGGTCAGGAGTTTGAGACCAGCCTAGTCAACGTGGTGAAACCCCATCTCTACTAAAAATATAAAGAATTAGCCAGGCGTGGTGACAGGTGCCTGTAATCCCAGCTACTTGGGAGGCTGGGGCGGGAGAATTGCTTGAACCAGGGAGGTGGAGGCTACAGTGAGCCGAGATCTCACCATTGCAGCCTAGCCTGGGCAATGAGAGTGAAACTCTGTCTCAAAAAAAAAAAAAGTGATGATAACAGGCATCCTGTCTTATTATTGATATTAAAGGGCATGCTTTCAATATTTCACAACTTAGAGTAGTGTTTGCTGGAGAATTTTTGTGGATTTCTTCCTCCATCAGGAAGTTCCCCTCTATGCTTCACTTGCTGATGCTAAATCCTGTTAGATGCGTTTCTAGCTCTATTGAAAAGGTCAGACTTTTTCCTTTAATCTGTTACAGTGGCAAATTTATATTCATTAATTTTCTTTTCTTTTTTTTTTTTTTTTTTTTTTTTT